GACAATCTTTGCTCATTGCAGCCCCTACCCCCTCAGCTCAAGCAATCCTCCTGCCTCAGCCTCTCAAGTAGCTGGATCTACAGGCACACAACACTACATTCAGCTAACCTAGTGTCTTACGTAGGCTGGCATAGAACTCCTGGTCTCAAGTGTTCCTCCCACTTTGGCCTCCCAAAGTGCTGGGGTTACAGGAATGAGTCACTGCGTCTGGCTTATTTATTTATATATTTTTGTGTCAGAATCTCACTCTGTTGCCCAGACTAGAGTGCAGTAGCACAATCATGGCTCACTGCAGCCTTGACCTCCTGGGCTCAGACAATCCTTCTGCCTTAGCTTCCCAAGTAACTGGGACTATGGGTGTGTGCCACCAAATTTGGCTTATCTTTTGTAGAGACATGGTCTTGCTGTGTTGCCTAGGTTGGTGTCAAACTCCTGAGCTCGAGTAATCCTCTCACCTCAGCCTCTTTCAGTGCAGGATTATAGATGGTAGCCACTATGCTTGGCCAGTTAATTTTTTAAATTTTTTCTAAGTTGGAGTCTCACTCTGTCGCCCAGGCACGGACACTGCAGTCTTGACCTAGCTGGGCTCAGATGATCCTTCTGCCTCAGTCTTCCAAATAGCTGGAATCACAGGCACGTGCTATCACATCTAGCTAATTTTTTTCTTTTCTTTTTTTTTTTTTTTTTTTTATTGTAGAGATGAGGTCTCACCAAGTTGCCCGGGCTGGTCTTGAACCCGCGGGCTTAGGCAATCCACTTGCTTCGGCCTCCCAACATGCTGGGATTACAGGCTGAGCCACCAGGCCTAGCCAAGACTATTCTTTTTCTATTGAATTAAATTGGCACCCTCATTGAGAATCAAATGACCATAAATGTAAGAATTTATTTCTGAGCTCTCAGTTCTTTTCTGTTGACATATATGTCTATCCTAGGCTAGTACCACACTGTCTTGATAACTGTAGCTTTGCACTATAGCTTTGAATTGTGGGTCTTCAGTTTTTTTCTTCTTTTCCAAGATTGTTTTAGCTATTCTGAGTCCCTTGAACTTCCATATGAATATCAGGATCAGCTTATAATTTCTGCAAAATAGGAAGCTGTGGTGTTATTTATTTATTTATTTATTTAGAATTGGAATCTCATTCTGTTGCCCAGGCTGGATTGCAATGGCATGCTCATGGCCACCACAGCCTCGACCTGTTGGGCTGAGGCAACCCTTCCACCTCAGCCTTCCAAGTAGCTAGAACTATAGGCGCATGCTACCATGCCTGGGTTATTTTTTTATTTGGAGACAAGATCTTGCCAAGTTGCCCAGGCTGGTCTCGAACCCCTGAGCTCAGGCAATTCTCTCGCCTCAGCCTCCCAAAGTGCTGGCATTACAGACTTGAGCCACCGCTCCTAGTCAGCTGTGGTTTTAATAAGGATTGCAATTGCCTCTGTAGATCAATTTGGGGAGCTTAGCCATCTTGATAATATAAGTGTCCAGAGTTTTAAAGTAGAATTTATTTTATGAAATCTTGGTTTCAGAGCTAGAAAAGTTCATAAAAAGTAATAGAGCAAAGTCAATTTATTTCAACCTCTGGGCTGTTTTCTATAAAATATTTTTCTAAATCTTAATAAGTTTATAGTGAAGCCTTGTTATATGAGCTAATTTGTTATATTTTTTATTTCTTTGAGGAATAAATGAGATTAAATTGAAGATAAATTGACTGGGTGAGAAGAGCACCTGAGTAGAGTGTAAATATTGCTATAATAATTTATTTTTGTTTGAAGTTACAGTAATATAACTTCTTAACATTTTAACATTTATGTTGACTTTATTTAATGGATATTGTTCTGTTCTCAGTGGATTACCATTTATTCCATATCTGGATAATTTGCCAAACTTCAATAGATCAGTTGATGGACCAATCAGGCTGCCAATTGTGGATAAGTACAAGGTACCCAAAATGTTAAAGAAATCAGGTTTTATGAGGTGAATCATTGCTGTGTGTTCGTTTCTAATTCTGAAACAAGTGTATTATCATAACATAGATGTCTTTTTGTTTTAATGGCGGCATATTAGTGGTATAGATTAGCAAATAAACTGCCTTTTTTTTTTTTCTTTTTGAGTTGGAGTCTCACTCTGTCACCCAGACTGGAGTGCAGTGGCCGCTCCCCACCACTGCAACCTCAACCTGCTGGGCTCTGGCAATCCTTCCGCCTCAGCCTTCCAAGTAGCTGGAACTACAGGCATGTGCTACCATTCCTGGCTATTTTTTAAAATTTATTGATTTATTGTAGAGGTGAGGTCTTGCTAAGTTGCCCAGGTGGGTCTTGAACCCACGGGCTGAGGCAGTCTACTCACCTCGGCCTCCCAAAGCACTGGTATTACAGGATGAGCCAGTGAGCCTGGCTTTTTTTTTTTTTTTTTTTGAGTCAGAGTCTCACTTTGTCGCCCAGGCTGCAGTGCAGTGGCACACTCACAGCCACCTCAGCCTCAACCTGCTGTGCTCAGACCATCCTTCCTCCTCAACCTTCCAAGTAGCTGGAATTGCCGTGCCTGGCTAATTTTTTGATTTATTGTAGAAATGAAGTCTTACCAAGTTGTCCCGGCTGGTCTTGAACCTGTGGGCTCAAGCAATCCTCTCACCTCTGCCTCCCAAAATTATGTGATTATAGACGTGAGCCACTGTACCTGGTGCTTAAACTGCCTTTTTTAAAAACCAGATTTTTTGACTTTTTAAATAAAGAGTTTTGCAATATCAATTTATATAATATTTGACCCTCCTCAAATACTTCTTTCTTTCATTAGTTCCATTTTAAAATTATTTAACAAATGAGTTGTTTTGTTTTTTTTTTTGGAGTTGGAGTCTCACTTTGTCGCGCAGGATGGAATGCAGTGGCACCCTCATGGCCACCGCAGCCTTGACCTACTGGGCTCAAGCGATCCTTCTGCCTCAGCCTTCCAATTAGCTGGATCTACAGGCATGCGTCACCATGCCTGGCTAATTTTTTGATATACTGTAGACATGAGGGCTCCCCAAGTTGCCCAGGATGGTCTTGAACCCATGGGCTCAGGCAGTCCTCTCACCTCGGCCTCCCAAAGTGCTGGGATTATAGGCATGCGCTACTGCGCCTGGCCACAAGTATTGTTTTTCCAGTGTTATATATGAGGATACAGGCTCAGAGGTCAAGAGGTTATTTATTTGAGTTGGAGTCTCACTCTGTTGCCCAGACTGGAGTGCAGTGGCAAGCCCCCAGCTGCCGCAGCCTCAACCTGCTGGGCTCCAGCAGTCCTTCCGCCTCAGCCTTCCAAGTAGCTGGAACTACAGGTGCACGCTACCACACCTGGTTAATTTTTGATTTATTGTAGAGATGAGGTCTTGCCAAGTTGCCCGGGCTGGCTCAAACCTGTAGCTTCAGGCAATCCACTCGCCTCAGCCTCCCAAAATGCTGGGATTACAGACTGAGCCACTGAGCCTGGCGAAAACTTGAAGTTTTACAAATGATTCAAACCTTTCTTCCTAAAATTCTGAACTGTTTTGTGTACCATGCTTTTTTTTTAAATCTTAGGCATATTTGTTTATTAATGTTTTAATCATACGTCGGCTTATGACTTGAATTTTTATAGATTATATATTACCTTCCCTGTGTTGTTTTTGGAGGGTTTTTTTTTTTTTATTTTTTGTTTTTGAAGTCTCTTGCTGTTCTTTTGTCCAGGTTGGAGCACAGCGGTGTCATCACAGCTCACTCCAGCTTCAGCCTCCCAAGTAGCTAGGATTATAAGCATGCGCCACCACACTCATCTGATTTTTTAATTTTCTATAGAAATGGGGTCTCACTGTGATGCCCAGGCTAGACTGGTATTGAACCCCTGGTCTCCAACCAATCCTCTCATATTAACTTCCCAAAGTACTGGCCTTACAGGCATTAGCCACTACACTTTGCCTCCCCTGTGTTTAAGATTAGTCCTAAGTCTTCTACCACTGGAGCTGATGATTTTTAATCAATGACTAAGCCCTGCAGAAATTTACTTTGGGCTACTAAGATGTTATAGAGCAGCAATAAAAGTCTGAGATTTGATTTTTTTTTTTTTTTTAATTTCAACAGGATATGGGCACTGTGGTCCTGGGGAAGCTGGAGTCAGGATCTATTTGTAAAGGCCAGCAGCTTGTGATGATGCCAAACAAGGTAAGAAGTGGTCATGTGCTTTCCTGTTTATTTATTTAAAGATAGGGTCTTGCTCTGTCACTCAGGCTGGAGTGCAGTGGTACAATCATAGCTCACTGCAGCCTCAGACTCCGGGACCCAAGCAGTTTTCTTACCTTAGCTCTCTGAGTAACTGGGACTGTAGGTGCATGCCAACACACCTGGCTAATTTTTGTATTTTGGTTTGTAGAGATAGATATGGGGGTCTCACTATGTTGCCCAGGCTGGTCTTGAACTCCTGGTCTCAAGCAATCCTTTCGCCTTAGCCTCCCAAAATATTGGCATTACGGGCATTAGCCACCATGATCAGCCTCTTTCCCATTTATATTTTCTCTTGAAAATATTAGGAAGGAGCCAGAAAATATCAAAAGCATGGGGATTTCTACTAAAAGAAGTATAACTGTCTGGGTGCAGTGGCTCATACTTATAATCCCAGCACTTTGGGAGACCGAGGTGAGAGGATTGCCTGAGTCCACAGGTTAGAGACCAGCTGGGCAATTGGCGAGACCTCATCTCTACAATAAATCAAAACATTTAGCCAAGTGTGGTGGCGTGTGCCTGTAGTCCCAGCTACTTGGAAGCTGAGGTGGAAGTATCGCCTGAGTCTAGCAGATCGAGGCTGCAGTGACCGGGAGCGTGCCACGGCCCTCCAGCCTGGGCGAGAGAGTGAGAGTCCAACTCAAAAAAAAAGAAAAAAGAAATACAACCTTTCAGTCATGATTATTCTAAATACAAAATTTGAAGAAAACTATATGATGCTATTATTTTTCAATGACAAATAGAGTTAGTATTAACATCCTGCTACAACTAAAAGATGCATCATGAAGAGATCATCCAGCCTAAGCAATATAGTGAGACTTTGTCTCTACAAAAATTTTTTTTTTGAATTGGAGTCTCACTCTGTCGCCCAGACTGGAGTGTAGTGGCCGCTCCCGGCCACCGCAGCCTTGACCTGCTGGGCTCCGGTGATCCTTCCGCCTCAGCCTTCCAAGTAGCTGAAACTACAGGCGCGCGCTACCTCACCTGGCTAATTTTTTGATTTTTTGTAGAGATGAGGTCTCGCCAAGTTGCCTAGGCGGGTCTCGAACCCGTGGGCTCAGGCAATCCACTCACCTCAGCCTCCCAGAGGCTCGGGATTACAGGCTGAGCCACCGAGCCCGGCTTACAAAAATTTTTTTAAAAATTAAGCCAGGTATGGTGATGTATACCTGTAGTCCAGCTACTTGAGAGATTGAGGTAGTAGGATTTCCTGAGCCCAAGAGGTCGAGGCTGTGGTGAGCTGTGATTGTACCATTGCACTCCAGCCTCAGTGACAAAGTGAGACCCCAACTGAAAAAAAAAGAAAAGAAAAAATCGCCTTTAATTCCAGCTACTTGGAAGGCTGAGGCGGAAGGATCGCCAGAGCCCAGCAGGTC